AAGTTAAAGGAAAAACTTGTGTAACTATTACTGTATTTAACAATAAGACATCCTGTACTCCATTTAAGATACTATTCATTTTGTCGAAAAACCTACCCTATCTATGTAAAATCATAAGAGGATTTAGGAAAACAAATCTCTAGTGCAGAAAAGCGTTTTTCTACAAACATGCAGATTAGGTATTTAAAAAGACAGCAACAGAAAACCAAGTATAAATACAGTTTGGGGAATATTTTATTCTAATCTAGGGATATCACTCGAGAAAGAAAATTCAATGACAGGAGTCAGTATAGAACAGAGAAATTTCCCTTCATGTTACCTGTTTAAAATAGCTAAAAAGGCATAAAACACACAAATCTTATATTTAAGAGCAACTTCTCTGTTCTACAGAAATAACTAAATCAGGAAAGACAAAAAGGATGGAGTCCCACTGTGCATGGAGAAAGGAGAAGACAGGGGTGGGAGGTTACCTTAAACCATCTTACCACCTTTCACTGAACTTGCTTTAAGGACTGCAAGTATAATTAAAATCATCTCACTTTAAAATCCATACATCAATTAATATAATGTACTGCTTCTGAATAAGAGATTTAGTCCCTCGATCCAAAAATATTTTAATGGCTGTTGCTCCAAAGACCCCATAACGGGCTCCGGTTAAAGATGGAAGGTTGTGCACGTGCATTTACCTCTGCTTTCTCCTGAAGTCCCACGGCTATGAACTGAATTGTGCCCCTCTCCCTCAAATTCCTCTGTTGAAGCACTAACTCTTAATGCAATGGTATCAGAGATGGAGCCTTTGAGAGATAATTAGGGTTCCGATGCAATCATGACGGTGGGAGTCCTCATGAGGAGATTAATGCCCTTATAAGAAGAGACACCTGAACTCTCTCTTCCTCCTCCAGGGGAGGCCACATTGAGAAGGTGCCATTTGCAAGTCAGGAAGAAAGATCTCACCAGAAACCAATTATGCTGGCACTCTGATCTTAGACTTTCAGGCTCCAGAACTGGGAAGGACTATTTCTGTTATTTAAGTCACTGGTCTATGGTATTTTGTTATGGCAGCTTGAGCAGATTAATACACCCACTAAAATGGTTATAAAAGGATTTTTCAAAAAGCCTAAACCCATAAGGACAAAGAGAATAGGAAAGATGAAAGCAACATTTTGGATACTAAAATAGCAGAGAGGTTAGTGGTAACTGATTTAGCAAACTCTAGAATCTTAAAGCAAGTGCAGGAAAAATGAAAAAGCAACTAAACTACAACAGAACCTTCAAGAGGCTCAGGAATTGGCGGCACCAGGTACCTTTGGAAACAGAGGTAAATGTGGGAGTGTACACAGAAGGCCTGGTAAAAGGATGTTAGAGAGCAGTAAGACCCCCCCAGATCCCACCATGTGGGCATCAGACTGGAGGTGTGCTCAGCAGGAAGAGTGAGGGAGTGTGTTAGGGCTGGGGCGGGAGTGAGGGAGTGCAGCCATCACACCAGGCACAGCTGCAGCTCACGGAGAGCAAGCAGAAGCTTACACACTGCATGCTGAGGGTCCTCAGACCTTTCCCCTACTTGGCTTCCAAAATGCTGAGAGGGAGACATGGATCTTCCAAGTAGAAACTGGACACTCTTCACTGGGGACTCTGCCTAGCTCAGGGGAGAGAGTCAACGGAACAGCCTAGCAGGATCACACTGGGCTGATGCCCACGGTTTCAAGCCCCACCCACAAGTGCAGAGCTACCAGCAGCTCTCTATGGCTCCGTTCTTATACATGAGCAGATGGCCAAGGAAGTCCTCTAACCTAAAAGACAGACAAAAGCAAGTTAACAAAAAAGTCCTCTAACCAAAAAGACAGACAAAAGCAAGTTAACAAAACAGTCCTCTAACCTAAAAGACAAAAGCAAATCAAAAAATTAACAACAAAATGAACAAATTAAAATTTCTGAAAGGAACAGAGCTAAAAAAGAGCATCTATGAAAGAACAGACACTAATAAAAAAAGAAACTCGTAGGAATTAAAATTATAATGTCACAAATGGGGAAAAAAAAAAACTCCACAGAAGGGATGAATGGCAGGGTCAAAAACCAAAAATACAAAATAAGAGAAAATAAGAAAATGAGAGGGACAGTCTCAGGGGTACATCTGAACAGAAAAAGAAAACTGAGTGGAGGATATTATTATACAAATAATTCACAAAATTTTCCTAAAATCAAAGGATGTGAATTCCCAGACTTCAAAGTTCAGTAAGTACTCAGCATAATGTATAAGAATATATGCTCCAAGGCATGTTATCATGAAATTTTTGACCAGGAGGGACAAAGAGAGGATCCTAAATGCTCCAAAAACACATAAAACAAAAACAAAACAAAACAAAAAGGCAGGTCACAGAAAGAAACAAGAATCTATGCAGCTTACGATTTCTCAATAGCAGTGTAGGAGTCTAGAATATGAAGGAGAAATTATTTTTAAATTCTCACATAAAATGATTTCCAATCTAGAATCTGATACCCACTGAAAGGGGGATAAATATAATGCAAGCTGCAAGATTTTCCAAAATGACCTTGAGAGCTCACCCTGGGCTGCCTGGAGAAGGACCTAGCTAAGACACCCCCCCTACCGATCATATCCTCAAGGGAGTTGCTAGACCTAAACTCAACTTCCCATGACACTGGTAGCTTCCTCTCTCTGGTAGGAGGGCCTCTAACTTCCCCTGGGCCCCAAAGTCTCCTGGGGCTAAACAGCGAGGATCTGCAAACAGCTCCTGTAAACATCCGACAGACATTCAAATCCAGTACTCAAACAGCCTAGATCATAAGCATTTGTTTGTTTTTCACTGATAAGACCACATTTGTGTTTGTACTTTAGGAATGGAGGGGCATCAGGGATTTTCCGAGGACACTTTTCTGTGACAGAATGAGGGTGGTGGACCTGTGCCTTCTTTTCTCTTGCTGAATCCCTGGTTTTGTTTCCCCTTTCTGCAATAAAGCCATGCTAAATGACATGTTGTTCTAAGCCCTGGTACCTGAAAGGTTGTCAGCCTAAAGACATCACCTTCCTTGATAAAAAGAAGGGAACCCATCTTACACAGTAACAGTCAAAAAATTTTTTCACTAATGGGATTTCTAAAGAACAAAATAAAACAAAAACAAACACACATACACACATAAAATCCGAACCCTTAAATGGTAACCCCCTGCATCTTTTCTCAGGAAGCTGCTGGAAAAGATGCCTTAACAAAAATGAGGAAGTTAGTTTGAGAAAAAAAGATGCCTTGAGATTCAGGAAACAGAAGTTCCATCCCAAAGAAGTGGAAAGGCAGCCCAGACGATGTTGAGTGGAAATATAAAAAGGACAGCTGTGCAGCTGGCCTAGGGAGCAACTACCATGGATTAACGGATTAATGCAAGCCAGAAAGTTCTGGAAGAGGTATTTGCAAGAAGATGAAACTAACAGAATATCTGGTGCCTTCAATCATATTGAGGGGAGATTCAGAAAAACATTTTAGCAATAGGGGATGAATGTGTGATGAAAATCTAGAAAACTAGTAAACAAAAAATAGGCAATTATTAATTCAACTGGAGGTGGAAAAGAAGTTTTCAAGGAAAGAAATCACATCATACCATACAACTCATCTTAAAATAGTGTTTTCATAGTCTATACAAGATAATATTGATCTAATCAAATTAAGACAGAACAACATTAGAGGGGCTTAGGAAGCACCACATACAGGCAGTGGTGGTGAGCTTAAGAAAGTGAAAGTCTCATTTTCTTTTGTGGGAAGTCAAAAGATAGTATCTAAATGTGAAAAAACAAGGGCACACACTGTAGGCACATCATTTAGAGACACAGAGGTAAATATCAAAAAGAATTTTTTTTTTTTAAAGTGAGGGAGAGTGAGAAATGGAGTTGAACTAGGATGGTGGAAGGGAAATGCTGTTTTCAATAAACCTTTTAACTACCTGACCCTTAAATACGTGCCTGTATCATGTTAATAAAAAATAAATTTAAAAATAAGATTAAACAAAAGCATTACTGTTACTATTGGAAAAATAAGAATTTGATGGGCTGAAAAGATAAGTGATTGTCCAAAAGAACATTATAAAAAGAATTTAAATCATCAGTTTATCAGTCTCGTGCTTCAATAAGAAAGCCAGCACTCAAACGACCATTACAAAACCAAAATAACAAAATAAAACAAAGATAGAAATCCCTCAGACATACTGTTAATTTAGAAAATGACTAATGGTAAATAAAATCAAGAAAGCCTACTTTAATTCTGGATAAAGGGATAATACCTTATGAAGTTTAAAATTACCCAATTATGAATAAGAACAGTTATTTGGGCAGCATTCACAAAAAGCTTATTATATGTAAAGATTATTGGTTAAAGACCCCTAAGCAGTTTATGGTCTAATAGGAAGATAAAGACACACACACAAATAACCACTGGTGGAATGAGAAACATTAAGAATAGTTCCAAAGAGAAAGTTTTTCCTTTGATTAAGGGAATCAAGAAACATTCCATCAAAGAAGTGTGACTTAAAATCCAAGCTTCCAAGATTTAGACATACTAGGGGGGCAAAGTCTCCCTTCTGGGTGAACCATCACAGGTGAAGGATAAAAATAAGAGCACAGACATGTTCACGACTATAAGCAGCTTGGTTTGGTTGAAATATAGAAAAGAAAACAAGAAATAAAAACATAGACTAAAAAAAAAAATTCATATGGCCAGATCCTGGATCTGCCTTGAATCTGGATTTTGTTCAGAAGGAAACAGAGTGTTCTTGGGAGAGAGGGGATAGGGATGGGAGGTCTAAGGACAATGGTCTTGAGTACAACCGCTCCACTTGGGAGATGTTGAACCAACCAACAGCAGAGTGTGTGAGAACGGGAACAGGGACAGGTAATTAAACCCACGTGGATAAAACTGTGTCAGTTTTCTCTTTAATTTTAATAGAACTTTTACCAAACAGCCTATTCCAATAGTTTTTCCTGGTTTCAGTAAAAATACCTGTGGATTTGTTTGATGCTCTCCTTCGAATTTCTGTCACCATCAGTCGTGAGACTTGGGTTGTGAACTGCAGAAGGTCAGAAAATTTTTCTGTCATCGTATTTGGCGGAGCATTTCCAAAAACCTGTGGATGAAAAAAAAAACAATTTTAATGAAGCACTGTCAACTACTGACTTTCATTCTGTACATTTCAAAGTGTGGTATGACTTGAAAATCAAGTCAAAAAAGTGGTCTTATACAGATACTTTGAATCTGAATAATACATTTAAAATACAACTCTTTCAATATATCATATCTAGCCACAATTCTTGGTACATATTACATCATCTTTTGAATGAATGATTAAATAAATGAAATAAAAGCCAAAGAATAGTTATCTATGAAATTTGAATCAATCTTACCGGTAAACTTTAGAAAGCATGCTTCTCTGAAGAGATCTAAATTAAGAATTTAGAGAAAGGGGAGCCTGGGTGGCTCAGTGGGTTAAGCTTCGGACTCTGTTTAGGCTCAGGTCATGATTCATGGGTTCTGAGATGGAGCTGAGCGGAGCCCCACCCTGCGTATGGCTTCACACTCAGCAGGAAGTCTGCTTGAAGATTCTCTCCCTCTCCCACTCCCCCCACTCACCCAAATGTGCACTCTCTCTCTAAAATAAATCTTAAAAAAAAATAAAAAAAGAATTTAGAGAAAAGTGGTAAGGTTCTATGATGGTACATAGATATATCAGATGGTGAAAAGCAGGGATTTATCTATGGTTAAGTCCTAGACTGAATATAGAATTCACTAAACTCATGCTATAGCTCAGAATTTCTAAATTCTACAACAATTCCCAAAACAATACCGTTAGGAAAGAGACTAAAGAAAATGAATGTGAGGGTCATAAAATACACTTTGTTTTAATAAAACATCTAAGACAAATGAACTTTAGAATAAACCATAAAAAAAAAGATTTTATTTATTTATAGAGAGCGCACACACACACAAGCAGGGGGAGTGGCAGGGGAGAGCGAGAGAGAAAATCTCAAGCAGACTCCCTGTTGAGTGTGGAGCCCTACTCGGGGAGGGGCTCAATCTGAAGACCAACAGCTCATGCATGACCTGAGCCTAAACCAAGAGTTGGAAACTTAACCCACTGAGCCACCAGGCACCCCTAGAATACATAATTCTTAAAGATAAACCAGTGTGGGCGCAGCAAAGAGGGCAAGAAAATGAAACCTGGACCGACAGTCTTAGGAAAAGAAATGGCTATATAACTGGATGTATCTAAAGTATTATTTTGAAAAATGTCCCTTATAACCAGAAGGAAATCCAGTCTTCTAAAACTATTATGATAGCTCTCTTATTATAATACTAATCACACAGTATTTTATATTCTTATTATCTGTTCAAATCTCACTCAAAAGGAAGGAACATATCTTACTCATCTTTGTATTCTACTCTGCTTTAATTTATAGAGATGTTCCCTAAATATGTTTGTTCATTTATATGCTGTCTCCCATCCCCCACAACAACAGATCCTAGAGAACATTTAAGTTAGCACTGAAGGATACATAAATTATAACATGAGAATATAAACTAAAATTAAGAAATAAAACAAAAACAGGAAATAAACCAAGGCTAGGGAATGGATGGGAAAACAGGACTAAAAATATCTAAGACCAAAAGACCAATTCTGTATTTGTCGTGTTTTGGTCACAAATTTTGGCTCAAATATACAAAAGAGAAAACCTATTCTATTCCATGGTTCACAATGTCCTTATGTAAGAAAAAAATATATTTAAGGAAGTATCTCTATTTTCATACTATAGCATAAAAATTTCCTTCCAAGGATCCTCAAAAGAAGGATATAACTTATAATGTAATATCCTTGTAACAGAAATATATTTCTTACATTCTTACAACAGATACTATAGTCCTTATAACCTCCTTCAAATTGAGCTGAAAGTACCAAACAAATCAATGTTACAGGTTATACTTTTGTTTGGTTATCTAAAGGCTGTTCATTAACTTGACACATGAGCAATTTTACATTATCTCAAAGAACAAATAAACTACTTTTCAAGACCTCAATAAATTGGTGTTTTTTTGGCTGAGATATTGATAAATGTTGTGTGTTTATAGCTCAAGTGGGTCACTTGTTTTTAAAACCGATATTCTTTTTTTTTTTTTTTAAGATTTTATTTATTTATTTGAGAGAGAGAGAATGAGAGACAGAGAGCATGAGAGGGAGGAGGGTCAGAGGGAGAAGCAGACTCCCCGCCGAGCAGGGAGCCCGATGCGGGACTCGATCCTGGGACTCCAGGATCATGACCTGAGCCGAAGGCAGTCGCTTAACCAACTGAGCCACCCAGGCGCCCAAAATCGATATTCTTTAACAAACAAATTGGAGGCAGATTAGAAATTGAGAAGCCTAATAATGACACATGCTTGAATAACCATTCTACTTCCAACTCAGAGATGTGAGTATATAACTGTTGTTTATAAAACAATTGCGTATTTTCCTAAGGCAATTATGAAACCTTTCATCAAACTAATTTAAAACAGGCAAATATTCCTATTACTCAGAATATATTAATATATATTTTGCTCCCAAGAATTATTAAGAGCTATTTTATTCTGAAGAGTTATAAAGACAACTTCATAAAATAAAAAGATAATTTCTTAGACAGTATATGCATATGGTTATTCAAGCAGTCTTCATGCTAGGTGAATAATTGTTAAAAATGCAACTAACTTGGGGCGCCTGGGTGGCTCAGTCAGTTAAACGTCCAACCCCTGATTTCTGCTCAGGTCATGATCTCAGGGTTGGGAGACTGAGCCCCGCATCGGGCTCCACGCTGAACGTGGAGCCTGCATAAGATTCTTTCTCTCCCTCTGCTCCCTCTCCGCCCCCCACACCCTGCTCTCTTAAAAAAAAAAAAAAAAAAAACCTAACTTTTCACACAAATCCTGATATTAAACTGCTTTATTGACGTGAGAAACTTTTTTTCAAAAGATGTCTTCCTTG